CAAGTGGGACAAGGTTATCCTTCATCTCTCTGAGAAACACCTTACTATAAAATAAAATTAAAAAAAACGTGAGATGATTTTAAATGGAAGTTATTTATGCTGGAATAGTTTTATTCTTTTTATGGGTTGTTTTAGATTTAAACTTTCACCAAATACGGTTAGAATCTGTTTTGCAAAAATAACCATTGCTAAATAATCAATAGTTAGTTGCAAACCTTGAGTTTCCTTGAAATAATACATAGATAAAATTGTTTATTGTTGCTTAGTCATTGCATTGGCTTAAAAAATCCAAACAAGCTCTCAGGATGTCATGAAGGTTTAATATAAGAGAGATTGAGCTCTCAACTTCTCTGTTATGTCCTCTTCTGCAGACATCATCACCTGCAGGGCTTAACTTGTCCCAGATCCTGCTAGAATAGGAGCTGGAGCCTCCCAGACTGGGACCGGCACTTATTTCACTGGATCCAGCACCTCACTTGTCAGTAATGAAATCTACCTGGAGAGAACTGGTAAAATGTCAAACAGACAATCAGATTTCTTCAAACCATTAGATTGGCTTGATTCTCAGCAGGCCAAAGTCATTTTGGCAGTTCAGACGGCATGGCTATAATTGCCAGCATGTTCTTCTTTCAAGGGCATCAAATATTGCAGTTTTGCCAAAGCCGCTGGCGTCTCAGAGATATGCGCAAGGTGTCCTTTGGCTTCGATACCTTGCCAGTATTTGACACCCTGAGGATGAGGACAGGTTCTAATAGCTGCAGCACAGTAGGTAGCAAAAGCAGTGCTGCAGAGAGGGAACGACAGGAAAGTGAAGGTCAACTAGAGGGAGCTGCGAACTGTAAACAACTGCTCGTTGTGAAAGTTGAGACTATTAAATGTAAATAACAATGATTTGTTTGCTGATGTTTTTTCTTGTGTAAGTGTCTGAAAAGTAGTTTTTAGGAAAATCCCTGATGTATCAGTGTTACTGTAAAGCCCGGACAATATAAAAAAAAAAGGCAACAATCATGCGATGCTCTATGCGCAAGCACCAGGCGATGATGTGAAGAAAAAACTCCTTTTGTAAAAGGAAGAGACCTCTGGCAGAACCAGGCTCAGTGAGAGGCAGTCATCTGCTCTGACTGGTTGGGTAGAGTGAGGGGAAAGAGGAGAGAAGAAAGAGAGGATAGGGACAGACAACAAAACACAGACTGTGTGAGAGATGAGATCAAATTTAACAACATACAGCCGTGGTGTATAAACACCTGGGGAGTGAAAAGAGGTGAGTGGAAAAGAAATGCAGAGGGTATCGCAGGAAGACCCCCAGCAGCCTGAGCCCATAGCAGGATAAGTAAGGGATGCTTCAGGGTCAACTGATTCCAGCCCTAACTGTATGCTTTATCAAAAAGGAAAGTTTTAAGTCTAATCTTAGGAGTAGAGAGGGTGTCTGTCTCCTAAGCCAGAACTGCTTCCGCAGGAGAGCGGGCTGGGAGCTGAAGGCTCTGCTTTTGGAAACTCAAAGAGTCATAAGTAAGCCTACAGACTGAGGTGATTCCTTTAAAGGCTTATTAGAGAACTGATGTAAGTGAAACAACAAAAAAGCATCTGCAGGTCATGTTCAGCTATGAAGACGAACATTTTAGACTTATCAAAAATCTTTCTTTGTGTGTGAAATGCTACCTTTTTAAATGAAATTGTGTGAGATGTTAAGAGGCCCCAGATACACACTGCTTTTGAGTAACAGTCAGGAGCCAAGAGTTTAGTGTTTACCAGTGTTTTGCAGTTTTTAAAATTATTGTACTCCCAACCGCCACAAAAGCAAAGCCAATGACAGATGAAGTGAATAACATTACAATTTTCTGCTGGTAAAGCTTTACTGCTGGTATGTAAATGGTGCTTTGACACACAACACCTACTCAAAGATTGTTAAAGGCCAAGAAGCCCCTCCCTCCCATACCCACTGGACTGAAAGGATTTGTCACCAGCGCTACAAACCACTGGAAATCGCCATACCTCCCAGAGGTGCCTCGGTTATTTTGTGGAAAGAGGGGGACCTACACAGTATTAGTCAGCTGGTTTTATTGTAATAGCTGATTGGTGAATGACTACTGGCTTAAAAGTAGACTATTTTCCTTTAAATTGTGCTGGAGAAAAATATGAAGTACCACTGAAATTGGATAAAATTACCTTTCACTCCCTAAAGAACTGCACAGTTTGTCGTATACCTACTGCAGAACGGCTCCTCCCAGCCTTTATATAAAATCACCCTTTTATAGAGAAACTGTGGCTCAGTGGAATAGTTTTTTTTTTTTATTCTGCTGAATTATCTCAAAAATAAAAAGATTCCTGGAAAAATCAGAAAAGCTTTTAATCAGAGCAGCTAGAATGTTTTATGGTACAGCAGAAAATACTTTTTCTGATTTTTTTTTTTTCCCCTCATCTGTGTCTTTTCCCCACTGCTGGTAAGACAAAACATAATCAGGATTGGGAAATTCACTGAGTTGCATTATTGATCACAGCTTTGATCAGGTGTTGTAACCAGAAACTGATAAAAGAAAGAAAAACTCTTAACAGTCAAAGTTTAAATGTAGCATATCTTTTAATTATGTTCAAAGGCATTTTGTTCACTAAGGAGGAACAAAGGCAGCGATTTCAAAGACATAAATGATAGATGTGTCTTGAATTATAAACCATTTGTTGCATGAATCTTTAAATGGAGTTCAAATTTCAGGGGGGTTTCGAGGATAAATTGGATGTGAAAGATATTTTCGGTTCTTTGGAGTCAGCAGGCGCTCGCGTCCCATCTCGAGGTAAACCACAGTTTACCTGGACTTTATCGCCTCAACCCAGAACCACCATATTGGATGGGTCACGTAATTCCGACTGGAATGGAAAACCTCGTCCAAAGCATGCAGCTTATTTCTTAGTAATAGCCTGACCGAGCTCCCCAAAGAGGCCAATTCTGGCCAGCAAGGCCCACTTAAATGCTCCGTGAGACAGAGGAGGAGAGAATAAGGTCTATAGAGCCACTTAAAAGCCCCTGGGTAAAAATGGGATTTCTGACCTGCTCCGCTGGTGTCGCAGCTCTTCAGCCAGATTAGCTGTCAAAGCTCTGCCAGGTGGGAGAGGAAGGGCCAGGGGAAGACGAGAGGAACTGATGGATGCTGGTGCTGTTCTTGGTGATGATGTAGACCACCAGGACCTCATTAGCTCAACATTTCATCAAACACGATGGCACCAGTGTGGCTCTCTGTGCCTCCATCTATCTCTCTCTTGGCCCTCTCTCTCTCCCTCCTTTACATATCCTTGATTTCCGTACCTCGTCTGTGGTCCTCTTTTCGTTCCTGCCTCTTTTCCATCTTTCTGTCACCCCACCCCCCCTTTTTTTTCTCCCTGCACCTTAAGGTCTCATTAAACAGATGAGCCCGCTCCGCCACTAATCTGCCACTAAGTCAAAGTCGGCAGATGACGACGATAATGGCACATCTTCCTCCACCCCCGCTCCACCCCCACACATATCAGGCTATTATCATTTGTTCTTATTAATGCCAAGATAATGTAAATTTGTTATGGCTATAAGAGTGTAAATAACTACCACACGTATCAGCTGGGGTGATATTTCAGGGCACATTAGAGGGCTCTGCAGGGCTGGTTTGCATATCATTGATTTTCGGTGCAGGGGTGTGTGTCTGTGTATGTGTGGCAGTGCGGGGGGAGTCACAGACATGCCCACACATACATGCAAAGCATATGTGCAGCAGCTTCATACATACCAACAACATGCAGGGCAGCTTTACATATATCAATAGGGCTATGCAAATGATTTATGTGCATGCCGTAGTGAAAAAGAGGTCACACTTACATCAGCGGGCCGTGGTGTTGTATGTTTTTAGTCATAGACACAGATGTAATTTAAAATGAACAAGAGACCTATTCATTCGCTATTCATTAATTACTTCTTTTCCTTATTCTCTGTCATATACTGTTACGGGGATGGATATTAGTATAACACATGGCCAAAGTTTCACATATTAAAGCCAGTTTTGACACCCGTCGCCATCCTTCCTTTATCAGAATTAAGCTGGCGTAAAGGGAGGGCAAGGGAGCTTGTTTATTTTATGCTGCACCATGGCTCAGCATGTAAAGTAAAATTCAAAAAAATGCTTCTAACTGTGAATTGTGAAAAGCAGCTGTATTAGAGTCCAAAAATACAAGCCTGGAAATGAACATAATCGGCTGCTTTAATAATAGAGCAAAAGAAAAAAGGAGCTCTGCTGTGGCAGCTCATATATGGACAGGAGCAAGAAGAAAAACACCATCTACAAAGTAGAAATGAATTCAAATAAATATGTTCATGTTGTAAATACCCTCATGTTCATCAGGCAAAAGCAGTATTTATGCTATCCTTACAGCTGTCAGTATAATGGTGAATATTGTTGTGATAGTTGTTTCTATTGACATGTCGTCCTGTGTGCTGTATTTTATTAACAATATAATGTTTTGTGAGTTTCCCATAAAGTATTGCAGGTGAATTTTCTGCATCTTGGTGTTGGTTTTGGAGGTAAACACACATTTTTCTGTTGTGTGGGAGTGAGAGAAAGATTTAAGGTGAATCCTTTATAAGACCCCGGGGTTTCTACCAATCGCAAAGCAATATGACAAGCTACATATACCCAGGAGGCTCTGTCGCTACCCATTTGTCAACAAAGCATTTTCTGCCTCAAATACATTGTGAAGCTTTTTACCAAAGTTCCCCTAGGTGTGCATTTCTGTCTGCTTTGCATTTCTCTGTATAAACCAAGGCTAAACAGAACTTCACAGCATTTTTGACTTGTGGAAAAAAGAGTTTGTAGACTTACAAACAAATAACTGCAGAAAACTAACAGAAATTCTGCTGCTGTGCTTCAGGGGTATTCACGGAAGGATGTGGAAGCCAAATATTGTGAGAAAGTTCATGTTTGCTTACTTGTTGTTTTTTTTTTTCTTCTTCTTCTTCTTCTTTGCCCTCTTCTCTCACTCAGCCTCTCAGGATGCACTGCCACACCTGCACCCTGGTGACTAGCTCAGGTCACCTCATTGGAGGCGGTCGAGGTGAAGAGATCGACCGGGCCGAGTGCGTGATCCGCATGAACGACGCTCCCACCGCCAGAGGTTACGCCCGTGACGTCGGTCACCGCACCTCCCTGCGTGTCATTGCACACTCCAGCATGCAGCGGGTCTTGAGGAGTCGCAACGAACTGCTCAACGCCAGCCAGGACACAGTATTTATCTTCTGGGGCCCCAGCAACTACATGAGGCATGATGGGAAGGGCCTTGTGTACAACAACCTGAGGCTCATGAAAGAGGTGCTCCCCAAGCTCAAAGTCTACATGATCTCCTGGCAGAAGATGCTGCAGTTTGATGAACTCTTCAAGAAGGAGACCGGCAAAGACAGGTGAGGGCGTCACTGCATCAGAACCCATCATCATCAGGAGTCTAATAATAGTTCAGCTAAAGCTTTAATTTAATTAATATTTAATCAGTTTTATAAAGTTTTAATCATTCTGCCCTTAAACAAACTTAACAGGTTGATTTTTATAGTTTGTACAAATGCGTTATTATCTGATCAGTCAAACGTTCACATGTCACTATCCCTGTGGAAATCAACCACAGTAGTCCCTCAGTACCACAGTAGTTGTAGTCCCTCCCACATACTGTATCGAAAGCAAGGAAAGATTTTCAGTCACTACCAATTTCATTCACTTGTGTGATTCATCTGACCTTCAGGGCAGCACAGTCAATACTTTTCAAGCTACAAGTTTCACAGTTTCTTCAGCTATTACATCAGCAGAAAATTCAGCCATATTTCTCTTGTGAATTTGTCCAGACTTTTCCAACGCATAGTGCACAAAGATTAGTAAATTGATGAATTTGGTGCACGACTTACCGACGGCGAATGCTTTACAATGAGCTCATGTTACTGATAATGATGCTGGAATAGTGTTGCATTTTTGTTATGTGGAGTTTTTGCATTGCAAGAATGCATGCGGGACCAAAGATATGTTAACTTTGGCTTCTCTTGTTTGTCTGTGCTGTTGTTGGTCCTTTAGTTGGGCTTATGTAAAAGACAAAACTCACAGTGCAAAGAACATCTTGTAAAGGAGTGAAACCAAATGCTTAAAACTGTCCTCTGCAGCCATCGTTTGTTCTTCTCAGCCATCTTTCTTTGATCTTTGTTGTCTTTTGAGCTCCTTCATCTTTATTGTGAACCGGTCTCTGATTTTTCCGTTTTCTGTTCAAGCAAACTTTTTATCCAATCAGATTTCAACCTACACATAACATTTGAGTCACAGACAATGCTGTTTGAGGACTATAAACACGTCTTGTTTGAACTTCCACAATCCTTATTTTTGTGTAGGCTGAGAAACAAAAGTGGGACCATAAATCTGGCCTGATCCAATTCAGAGCACATAGTCTATAGTAACTATACCATATGCCTTCTCCCAAATAGTCTCTTTTATTCCAGCACCGTATGAAAGTCAGCTTCTTTTGTGTTGTAAAAGTGTATTTGTCTGTCAAACCATGGCTATGCATTTAGTAATACAGTACATACCATGCTTGCAGGAAACCCTTAAACTAAATGGACAAGAGTAGGTGGTTGCAAAGCATGCCTCTGCATTCATAATCCGTATTGTGTTTGAAAAACAGACTTTAGCAAGTAAACCTGGATGTCATGGAAACATGAACGTGCAAGTTTCTCGCATAAAGAAGTCTCAGATATTGTAATTTATTTACAAAACTACTTGAATGGGTCTCAGAGGGATCTACTTTAAAGTAGTAAAGAAAGGAATGAAAGTGACAAAACAAGCTTTCACTTTCTTTTGTGTGGTGTCCTAATGGCCTCCTAAAAATTACCCCGAGTTTCAGTTGCAAAATGAACAGTGTTAAAGGACTCCGTTTTAATGAGTCGGAGATGAGTTCTCAGCCCTGTGGCCATTAACTCTTAATGAAAACCCACCCATACAAACACTGTTTGTGTCTCCGTCGCTTTATCTGAGCCTTTGTTTGGGGTGTCATCGGAGATTGAATCTGACTTCAGCTTAAGATAGATGCCGTGGGGGAAATCGCCGAGCAGAGGATTTGGTGAAAGGCTCAGACATCAATCCTTCAGAATCTGTGCCTACAATCATGGTAAATGTTTACAGTGAGCAGGCTTTCTCTGTTATTGTTCGTATTTACAGTTTCTCATCCTTTCTAGCACCAGGCATTAACATCAGTGAGAATTATTCGAGGTCCTTTCTGCTCCATGGAGCGTGGAAGCAGAGAGAAATAAAGCCTTAATATATTAGTGTATAGCTTTGTAATGCTTGAGATAAAAATTTAACAGAAGCTCTGTGCATGCAAAATGTCTCGTACCTTTATGAAGCAATATTTTATCTAATTTGGAAAATGAATCCCGTGTTATTTAAGAACTGGGAGCCTGTGGCCGCAGCATTAAAAGCAGAGCTTCTGGGTAATCAACCGTGCAATCGGCAACCCTGCAAGCTTAATTGTAATTATGGGTTATGCCTTTTCAGTAAAGAGAACTAATATGGTTTAGGATGATGCCACATCCTGCAGTTTTTAATAACACATACAGAAGAGAGAAGGGAAGCAGGTGTCCCTCTGCATCCTTTCTGGTAAATTCCTAGAATGAGCCTTAACTGGTGATTAGAGTCAAATTAGCTTTTGAAATAACTTTTTTCTCCCTTGTCTGTGTTTTCTGTTCCCATGATGCTTTGTGGTAATTGTTAACAGCCCAACTGTGGTTTCTGCTGGAGCTAGCTGCAGTGTAAAATCTGATGATTTGAGATAGGTCACCTATCAAAAAGATCTAGGTTGAATCCCTTTAACAGTGCATCTTACATCAAACCTTGGCAGTCGTATTGAAGCGCGCTTTGATGGCTTATGAACATTGGTCAAAAAAAGGAAAAGAGAAAAGCCACAGCAGGGCAGCTGTGCATCAGAGAGCAAGGAGACAGCTGGAGCAGTGGACAAATTACATAGCTGTGAAGAACAGCTGAAAGGGACTCATTTATAAAGCTGACTTTTGATCAGTTTTGATCTTAAGCAGGATTTACAGTAAGCAGAAGCAAAACTTAACTTTGAGCTTATCTTAAAGCAACGTTTTGACTTGTAATACGTTTTCTGCAGGTTATGTAGAGGTGTTTCAGTTTGGGTTGTAAACACGGTCTGCGGTGACCTTTGTAGTTCTGTCCTTCTGGCCAACTCCCCTTCTTCTACTGCAACATTACGCTGGTTCCCAAAACAAAATAAAAGGGTCTGCTGCAAGAAATCTGCCAGTGATTGGCAGATGAAGCCTGCAGATCTGTCCACAGTGTTATTCCCGTGGAAATGACCTAACATTGTGTGGCTACACAATTCTACACACTTCTACATAATGTTACATACTTTGAAATAAAAAAGTTGACCCCTAGAGTGTTATTGGAAGACATTATTGGTTATGTTATGTTTGTGACTTTTAAAAAAATTCTATGTTGCTAATCAAGGTCATGGAAGTTACCCTCAATGGTTCCTCGGTTATTTAAAGTAAAATATTTTCTACAAAGTGTATATGTTAAAGATGTAAGAAAAACTTATAAACTCAAAGGAACATTTTTATTGACTGAAAATGCTCACAAATGTAACACAAATATAAAAGTACAGTCCTGTCCGGTCGTCTAGGCAACCACTTCATGTCATTTGGTGAAATTTCATAGACTTGATTGAGCGTGTGTATACACCTAAGTATAGGTTGTGCTATCCTAAAGCATGGTATTTGACGGGCTGACACAACAACAGTCTCCGTCTTTCCATAAAAGAGCAGAGCAGCAGCTGCAAAAGAAAAGAGTGCATTTTAACAGTAATAGTGAGGATCTTCTAAAAAAAACAAAATAAATTATAGATATAAATTTTAAATATAACAAGAAGTAATTAAATCAAAACTAAGTAAGCCACAGATTTCAAATTACTAAATCAATTAGCAGTAATACGACTCACAGTAAAATTAATACCAATATATTAAATTAAATTATTAAATGCATCTGATGTATGTCTGAAAATCGACTTGCCAGTTTTAGGTGACGATACGGTCCCACCACTTTTCATGGCATAAAGTTTCACTAATTTCTAGAAATACTACATAAACATCATATGTCAAATTTACCACTGTTACTTTCGATGTTATGGTCAGTGATGTAAGAGTAGATGGGGTGAAAAACAGAATTTCCCAAATTCCAGAAGAACACTGAAGTTTGAAATGCTCCAGGCAACTTCAGATTGTTAAGATGCATTTATGTCACTACCTGTCACATCACCTGATTTTTGCTGACTGGCTGGGACAACTCCATATACTTCTACAACCACAGAGAGGTTTGGGGAGGACAATTTTGATGTCTTTCACAGTTACCACATAGGGTTCTCTGCCAGATAAAGCCTATAGAAATCAACAAGGCTATTTGCTACAGCGACGATATAATCCTAAATTAAGTCTTTATCCTTGTTTGCCAACCAAAGATGTGTTGTCCTTCATTGCCACCATTTGATCTACCAAGAAGTTGGGTGTTCTCTCTTGATGGTGTTGCAGAGTAGACGGAGCAGGCAGCAGATAGCAAGCCAGATGAGATGGAAAGAGGAGGGATACATGACAGACAGCTTGAAAGGCAGATTGACAGATCTGTAAAGATCACGGGCTCGAGGCTGATTGGCTCAGAGCCCTGACAGATCACTGGACAAGAATAGTGATATTGACATTTTGAATGAGCAAGAAAGAGCAACAGTGACAGCCCATATCAGTGCAACTGATATTTAAGGTAACAGTACAGATCTTCTAAGTTGAACTTACAAAACAGTGAGTGGAAAAAAATTTATAAGTTACAAGTTAAAAGTGATATTTTTAGAGCGTGCTTAAACTGAGATTTGTATGCTTTTTTAGAAATAAGAGCCCAAAACGAAGAACCTGTGAGCTTTTGATCTAAAATTTGAGAACATTCAACAGGCCCAGCAGTGAAAAAGCTCCCTGCTAAATGAAAAGAATAGGACACATTTACAAACCAAGTAACCTTTAAAGGCCATGCAGACACCCACACGTTTCCACTTATTTTGGATGATAAGACTTTTGCTCAGGTTGAAGGTGGGCAAAACCTTTGCTGTGACTCATGAAATGTCACAGGACTGCTTAAGCTATTATGACCAAGATAAAGGTGTAATTGGTCAAACAAACAACACAAACTGATGGAAGAAAAGTGATGTGCCTCATATCAATGCATGCGGTGTGGAGATTTCCACTATTTCTACATAGATTTTCGTTGTTTAAAGACTTCTGCTCTCACAGAATTGAAGAGTGCAGTCTAAAGTCTGAACTTGAAGTCAATTTACAGTCCAACACCAAACTGAAGCGAGGATTCAGGTTTGCTG